ATCTATTTCTGCTTGCAAGAATGTAGGCAGGTAATGCAAAAAGTGACTTCAAACTATTTATTTATCCTATTTGCCACATGCATTCCTTTAACCAGAGCTGAAGTGTATCAGACATTTGTCCCCTCTAGTAAGTGAGCAATAAGCCATAAATTGGTTCAATGTTATGCAACAGGATGACTGAGGAAGGAAATTAAAGGATAGAGGAGAAGGCCTCCAAGTTTAAGGAAGTCAAAATGAGATGGAGTAACTCACAAGAAGCCTGTATCCTCCTGGAACTCAAAGTTTGCTTATAGGCAATTTGAGAAAGCATTATCATATCTTCTTTTTTTATTTTTTTTTATTTTTAAGTTCTCTTTATTGCAAAATTTAAATTTAAAATCATTTAGTTAACATATTATCTTGGTACATTAATCCACTCTGGAAATGTGTGAAAACTTATAAAATAAGTTATTTTATTTTATGTATTTTTATTTTACTATTATTTTTTAAATACACAACAACAGTGGAATGCATTACAATTCTTATTACACATATAGAGCACAGTGTTTCATGGAAAACTAAGAGACCCAGAATAGCTAAAGCAATTCTAAGCAGGAAGAGTGAAGCAGGTGGTATCACTATACCAGACCTTAAACTATACTACAGAGCAATAGTAACAAAAACAGCATGGTATTGGCACCAAAACAGGCCAGTAGACCAATGGTATAGAATAGAGGACACAGAGCCTAACTCACAAAATTACAATTATCTTATATTTGATAAAGGGGCTAAAAGCATGCAATGGAGGAAGGATAGCATCTTCAACAAATGGTGCTGGGAAAACTGGAAATCCATATGCAACAAAATGAAATTAAACCCCTATCTCTCACCATGCACAAAACTTAACTCAAAGTGGATCAAGGATCTAGGAATTAAACCAAAGATTCTGCATCTAATATAAGAAAATGTAGGCCCTAATCTTCTTCATGTGGCATTAGGCCCCAACTTCCTTCATAAGACTTCTATAGCGTAAGAATTAAAACCAAGAATCAATAAATGGGATGGATTCAAACTAGAAAGTTTTTTCTCAGCAAATAAAACAATCTGTGAGGTGAACAGAGAGCCTACGTTCTGGGAGCAAATTTTTACCCCTCACACATCAGTTAGAGCACTAATCTCTAGGGTATATAAAGAGCTTAACAAGATAAACACCAAAAAAAAAACAAGTAACCAAATCATATTTTCTTAATAACAGAAACCCCCTTACTAATAAAGTGTCTAGCAGAAATCAATATCTATCTATCTATCTATCTCCCACCCCCCTCCACATTTCCCTTTTTCCTTTGGTACTGGGGATTGATCGAAGGAGTGCTTTACCACTGATCAACATCTTCAGTCCTTCTTTCGATTTTGAGACAGGGTCTCCCTAAGTGCTGAGAGACTTACTAAGTTGCTGAAGCTGGCCTCAAACTTGCAAATATCTGTCTCAGCCTCCTGAGTAGCTGGGATTGCAGGCACACACCACCACACCTGGCTAAGAAATATCTTGGTCTCAGATAATGTAGGCCAGCACTGGGGAAGGAGCCATGCTCTTCTCCTTTGCAAGTGATTTCTCTTAGTTTGGGCTACTGACGTATTAGGGGAAGTCAGGGGATTTCTGGGAAAGGTTTATATCTCCATCTGGTGACCCAGATACCTCTCAGAAAACATTCCTGAATTTTTCATTATGGACATGGCTCAGAGTCAGAAAATAACATGAAATCCTTGTAATCATGTATATCATATTATAAACACACAAAATTCCAGATAAAACCTAGAGGAATTGGAAATGTTGGATTCCAGAATATAGAGGGGGAAAGGATATGAAGAAGATGCTAAACCACAGGACATAGTGAGCTTGACTAAGGTATCAATCCAACTTGATTCATGTGCCTACCACCATTATGGCCCAAAGAATGGAATCTATTACTACCAGGAGAAAGAGAGAGAGAGAGAGAGAGAGAGAGAGAGAGAGAGAGAGAGAGAGAGAGAGAAGAGAAGAGAGAGGAGAAAGGGGGAGAGAGAGGGGGAGAGAGAGAGAAAGAGAGAGAGAGAAGAGAGAGGGGGAGAGAGAGAGGAGAGAGAGGGGAGAGAGAGAAGAGAGAGGAGTGAGGGGGGAGAGAGAAAGAGAGAGGGAGAGAAGAGAGAGGAGAGACAGAGGGAGAAAGAGAGAGGAGGGAGAGAGAGAAAAGAGAGAGGGGAGAGAGAGAAAGAGAGAGGGAGAGAAGAGAGAGGAGAGACAGAGGGAGAAAGAGAGAGAGAAAAGAGAGAGAGGAGAGAGAGAAAGAGAGAGGGAAAGAAGAGAGAGGAGAGACAGATGGAGAAAGAAAGGGGGAGAGAGAGAAGAGAGAGGGGAGAGAGAGAAAGAGAGAAGGAGAGAGAGAAGAGAGAGCAGTGAGAGAGGGGGGAGAGAGAAAGAAAGAGAGGGAGAGAAGAGAGAGGAGAGAGAGAGAGGGAGAGAGGAGAGAGAGAGAGAGAAATATGGCAATTATTGATATCATCCACTATTTATGTTTTTCAATGCCCTCTCTTACAGTAACCATTTTGAGGGGTCTGCCACGTTGTCAATCTTCCTTCTCCAAAAACTGGATCCCCACCCCCCCACAGGAGCCATGTTGTAACCCTGCCTTCTGGGCCAAACTGATGGAACTACACAGAACCCCTGATCCAAGCCAGGCCAACCAGATTCCATCCTGATGTTACTGTCTAGGAGTGCTGGGTTCATTGTTTCCATTCAGCAAAGAAAGAATTGAGGAACAGGACACAGAGATAGCAAGTAAGTAGCAGGTTTATTGCAAAAGCAACAGAGATACAGAGATAGACTTTTCCAAAGAGAAGGCCCAAAGCTGGGACTCTGGTGGGAGAGTTTTGGCCTGTTCTTTTTATGATCTCTGGAATTTCCTTCTTTCCTTATCTTCTCCCTTGCCCATGAGCTCCTCACTATTATTCATTGGTGCCCCCTCTGTCCACATGTCTGTTTTAGTTTTTCTATTGGATCCCCTGCTTGAAAGCATGAGTATGGAAGTGTATGGGTCCCCCTCTTGTGTCCAGGAGCACTTTTGTCAACCAGGAAGTTGACCTCATTGGAAAACCCTCTCCATGCTTCTCTGGTCTGGCCCTGCCCCGGACTTCCTCACTCGCCATCTTGCCTTGGCTGCCTTTCACATCGCCCTCACTGAGAATCTGGAATTGGAATTCAGAGATGCTAGTCAATCTATATCAGTCACTAAAACCCAGGATTTTCCCATGTTGGGAAACTGTATTTTGTCAAGTTTGTGGAAATGGAAATTGGGATTATAAAGAGAATCCAGGTGAATGTTGAGATATGAAAGACCACATAAATCAAGAGAGTAATTGGAAAAAGAAAGGGAGAGAGAAATTCCCTGATTCCTGATGACTTCCCAGTTCATGGCTTCAGTCCCTCCTGAATCACGAATTTTCTTACTGACTTTGTGTTCCATGAAACTTCACATACCACATAATATTCTTCTTCTGACTAAGCTAGCTCAGGTAGGTATCTGTTACTAGCAACCAGAGGTACCTCGACGAAGGTATTATATTGTTCAGTCTTCAGAGCAAATGAGTCATTTCACAGATGAAGAAACAGGACTTCCAGAGGCCAACCATACAATAAAGAATGGGTTCCAGTGAGGTATGCCTAATGGAGGGTTAGCAACCTTGGGCAGTCCACAGAACCTTGATGGACCTAAGTCTAAAAATTATCTGTGAGCTATCTAGATCTCTTGAGCTCCTTGAATTAAAAACCAAGTTTAAATCCAAGGAATGAGAAATTTAGTTTAATTTTTCTGAAGGAAAAATAGCTAACCATGCTTCTTTACTACAGCATTTCTAACGTTGTATTGAAATTGTCTGTTTACTTACTTATTAACCTCACTAGACTGAACATTGTTTATCAGTGCCTAGAATATATTAGATGCTCATTAAGTATATATTGAGTGGATAACAGAAGAAATAGCAGCTTTTCATTGATTTCTTTCCCAACTGACTGCATCTTGTCTGAATGTCCCACATGATACAGTTGAGTGATGGAAAACAATGCCTATTGGTAGAAAGAGTGTTGAAAGCACACGTGATTCTCAGAATCAGCTCTGTCACTGATAATTGTGTGATACTAGGAAAGTCCTTTTCTACGTAAAGCAGTAGGGAGTTAGATTATGTGGTCCCTGGAGTGGAAATCTAACATTTTTTTTTCCTGCAGCACTAGAGATTGAGCCAGGGCAGAGGACACTTTATCACTGACCTACAATTCCAGCTGTTTTTATTTTTTAGTTTGAGACAAGATCTTACTACATTATGAGGCTGGCCTTGAACTTGTGATCTTCCTGCTTCAGCCTCCTGGAGTTCCTCGGATTATAAGGAGGTGCCACCGCATCCAGCAAAATTTAACAGTTTGCAATGCCACTGATCCCTCTCCCTTTGTCAAATCACACCTTTACCCTTAGAGTCCACATTTTTCTCAAAGAATAAAATAGAAATCTGCCTTCGCAGCTTCCCTTGCCACTAGGCTACAAGGGTATGCCTTAGAGTCTCCCTAACAGATAAACTCAATCATAATTTGAATATATTTCAATTTAGAAGAAGATGACATGAAAGAAGCACTGCTTAAAATCCATTCTGGAGAGTCTGGGAGAGAGATGGGCAGGTTTCACAGACGGTGGTGATGAAGGTCCTTGTAGTGATGCACTGGGTCTGGCATTGATGCTGACGTTACACTTGTCACCTAGAGCAGCAACAGTACTTCACCCAGAGAAGCTCAATAGACCACTGCTTTTGGAGGTAAAGTTTCTCTGATTGCCTGACTAATAGATAATGCTAAGGTACTATATATTTTTAAAAAGAGAGAAGAAAAAAAAACTTTGCTTTTAGTGCAAAGAAATGATAAATGTTTGAGGAGATAGATATACTTAAACCTAACTTAAACATTACACACGCATATATACATCCATCAAAACATTACATGGGTGCTCACTTTGACAGCACATATACTAAAATTGAAACAACACAGAGAAGATTAACATGGCCCCTGCACAAGAATGACATGCAAATTCATGAAGTGTTCCATATTTAAAAAAATACATGGCACCCTATAAATATGTGCAATTTTGCCTGTCAATTGAAAACTGCATGTGTATTAACATGTAGACTGCTTTCTTGTTATCATCCACTAAACAATACAGTGTAACAACTATTTGCATAGCATTTACATTTTAGTATGTATTATAAGTAATTTAGATACACTTTATAGTATTCAGGAGGTTGTGCATAGGTATATGCAGATACTACAGTATTTTAAAAAAAATATTTTATTGGTGAATTATAATTATATACAAAAGTGGGCTTCATTGTGATATATTTGTACCTATACATAGCATAATTTGTTTTATTTTATTACCCCCCACTTCCCTTCCCCTGCCTAATTTCCATCCTCCATTGGTTTCTCTACATTATTTTATACAAGAAACTTGAGCATCTGCAGATTTTGGTATCTGTGGGGGGTCCTGAAACCAATCTCCCCATAGGCACCAAGGGACAACTGCATTATTTAACATATTCAAGGAAAAGATGGCATGAAGGAAGAATAGGAGAGTCCTTGTTGATATCATACCCAGAATTATCTGGGATACCTATTTATTCTAGCACAGTTCTGACTAGTTCAGATACCTCACACAAATGCCTTTTAACCAAAGTTTTTGTATACCTAGTTATTCTCTTCCACTAACTGACATTGATAGATAATTCAGAGATATACTTATAATAAGAAATGTTAGTATAATATTTTCATGGGTACTAGCTTATATTTGAGAATCAAAAACAGAAAAAGTCAAAGTTAGTTTCATCATAAAAACTTTATTAAATACTTGTTATGTACCTATTGTTGCTCTAGGCAACGTCACGTACATTATTATAATCACTTACCTCTAATCTTTGTACCAAGTCTGTTCAGCAGATGTTAATAGTGCACAGAGAGAACAACATGTTCTCCCAGCTTGATGCCCAGGTGGGTGCTCAATGCATTATCTGTTGACCCAATCTTCCAGTCAAACTTAAAGTTACCCTTTATGAATAACATACATGAGGATAGTCATCAGTAGAAATAAGGTTTTGTGTACAGTATTAGAATATCATTGTAGCTTCTGCAAATCAAATATCCCAAATAATGTTGGCTTAAGATAGGAGTTCATTTTTTTCATAGATCAGAGTCTGAACTGCTATGGTGACTCTATTCTTCAAAGTTGTCAGGGATACAGGCTGTCCTCTTTCTTCTTCTTCATTTTTTTTTTTTTTTTGGTGTGTGTGGCACTGGGGATTGAACCCCAGGACTTGTGCATGCTAGGAAAGCACTTACCATTGAGCTACATCTTCAGCCCTTTTTTATTTTGTATTTTGAGACAGAGTCTTGCTAAGCTGTGCATGTTGGCCTTGAACTTGTGGGCCTTCTTCCTCAGCCTCCTGAGTTGCTGGGATTACAGGCGTGCATTACTGCACTTGGCTCAGCTTGCTTCTGTTGTATAGCTCCATCTACCCACTAATGCAGCCTCATCTTCATGGTCCTATTGGCTCACCACTTATCTTCATTCCAGCCAATGAGAGGGGTGAAAGAGGACCAGTGGGGGAGCTTATCCCTTCCATTTAAAGGACAATTCACCAATAGCCACGGCACATCCCTATACCTCCCATTAACAAAAACTCATCCTTCTGTATGTGTTGCACAGTCATACCTAGCTATGAAGGAGACTGACAAATGTCTTTATTGTGGGCAGTCATGTGTCAGTTCAATCCTATATGCCATATTATTGTGAAAGGGTAGGGGGACCAGATATGGGTGAAGAACCAGCACACTTTGCCACAGGTACCCATTGAACAATTTTAAATGGCAATATTTCCAGTGAGCTAGGGATGGGACTAAGGTATCTTCTAGCTTCTGAGCATAAGGTACTCTCTAAAATCTCCACAAGAAGACATCAGTTTCCAAGGTAATAAAGCTAGGGCTATGTCAGTCATAAGGTTACTTCAGAGTGACTAAAAGAGAATCTACTGAAAGACCAGGCAAATTCTGAGAATGGTCGAGTACATGGCTGGGGACTTACTTTTTCCAAATAAGATGATATGTATAAATCCTGGAAAGAAACACCCTTGGAATAGAGATGGATACATTAGGATAGTAGAACATGATTCTAATCATATAGATCATGTCACCTGATGCCCTTTCTTTGTTATTGTAGAATAGAAATAACATTTGAGATTTCCTAAGTAATCTTTCTTTTTGAGGACAGAATGCACTGAACAGTCAATCCATGTTCCATGGTTGTGGAAGGTGTGTTTCCCAATATAACATCTTGCTCTGTTAAGATGGTCTCTTGAGATTTTGTTCAGTGTGAGTCAGAGCTCCAAATATGTTTTCTCATCCTTTCGTTCAATCAACATGTTAAGCATCTACTACAGGCCAAGTGTTGTAGTAATCAGTGGACCATTCTGGAATAAAATGAAATGTTTGAATTCTTACTCCACCTCAGTTCAATTATATCCCAGAAAGATCATTAAAATCATGAACTTTGGAGCTTGGGGTGTAGCTCAATAGTAGAGCATGTATTTAGCACATAGGGAGCTCAAGGTTCAAACCCTAGCACCAGAAAAAATTATTCATTGTCTTTCTGGTATAGAAAGCAAGATCCATCAATATCCAAAGTAATAAGGTAGCATATCCACAATGCACATCAATAAATACACTATGATCAAGCAGGAACCTTGTGACGTGCTCTAAACATTACTCACATGATACCACCTAAAATCTGAAAGGTATTTAATCTCTTCCTTACATCATGTTTCTTTCCTTTTTTAAAACAGTACCATGCTAGGCAAGTGCCCTACCACTGAGTTACAAACCCAGCCCCTGTCACCTTCAAATAAATCAATACATTGTAAAAGCTATTTTAAAATTATACACAGTTGCAACCCAGGAACTTAAGGTTTCACCTTATAGTATCAATTTTTGTAAGTTTATTTGATGCATTTAATGCAACCGGTAACTGCAGAATCTATTTTGCCTATGTAAGTAAAAAAAAAAAAAAAATAAGCAGTTACCTAATCAAATCTCTGAAACTTGGCATAGATTTAGTGTGTACTCTACCTTCATTACTTCTGGCAAAATATTGTGCCTTAATATTCAATTGCTGACTCTTCCTTTTCTTTACTGTTTGGTATGCTTTAATTCTTTAGATCATATGAAGATAGAATATACTACCCTTTAAAAATGTCTATAGGCAAATCATTGCACTAAATAAATGGCTATTATTTTTTTCATATCATATATAATCTTCTTCACAGAACACTTCATGAAGTTCAGTTAGATTTCAGTAAGTTATCTTCCAGAGCAGATCCGTTTCTTCCCATCCTAGTATCAGTATGGGATAAGTTTTTGAGTGCAGAATTCAATGTATATGAATTGTGCCAAGCAATGAGATAACTATATATCTAAAATATAAGCACATACACATGATACTACTTAGATCAATATTGCCTCTAGGATTCAGTTTCTTTAACTAACTTACTGATTAGTAAATTTTGCTTATTTAATTTGACTTGGGATCAAGTCCTGACTTGGCCACTTTTTTGAGTTTGGATTGACCCTGGGGTGCTTTACCACTAAACTGCTTCCCCAACCCTTTTTATTTTTTTATTTTGAGACAGGGTCTTATTAACTTGCCAAGGTTGGCCTTGAACTTGTGATTCTCTTGCTTCAGCCTCCCAAGTAGCTGGGATTACATGCATGGCCTACTGTGCCCAGTAAGAGAGAAAATCTGCTACTTATCTTAGGCAAGCAACTAAAGCAATACTTTACCTCAGTTTCCTTGTCTGTAAAGTGGGGATAATAGTAGTGACATTTGTTAAAAATAAATGAGATAGCCAGACGTGGTAGCACACGCCTATAATCCCAGTGGCTCAGGAGACTGATACAGGAGGATTGTGAGTTCAAAGCCAGCCTCAGCAACAGTGAGGCGCTAAGCAACTCAGTGAGACCCTGTCTCTAAATAAAATACAAAATAGGGCTGGGGATGTGGCTCAGTGGCTGAGTGCCCCTGAGTTCAATCCCTGGTACCCACTCCCCCCCAAAATGAAACTTGAAAATATTATGCCAAAGTGAACCAAGACAGACACAGATAGAAAAATATTGCTATGATCTCACTTATAAGTGGAATCTAAAAGAATGCTGAACCCATAATAAGAGTAGGATATGGTTATCAGGGGATGAGAAGTGGCAGAAAATGAAAAATATTGTTAAAAGTAAAAATTTCAGTTATAAGAAGAAAAACTACTGGAGACTTAATGTACAGAACAGGGACTATAGTTAATAATAGTGTATTATGTACTTGAATTTTGGAAAGGACATCAATCTTGTGTTCTCACTATAGAAAATAAAGGTAGCCATGTGAATTGATGGAGATGTTCATTAGCATAACTACAGTGATCATTTCACAGTGTAAACATAAATTGTGTATCATAAACTTCATGTTTTATACCATAAATATGTGGAATTTGTGTCAACCAGACCTCACCTCAATAAACCTGGAGAAAATTTAAGTTAAAAAAAGAGAAGGGCCACGCACACTGGGGGCATGCCTGGAATCCCAGTGGCTTGGCAGCCTGAGGCAGCAAGTTCAAAGTCAGCCTCAGCAACTTTAACGAGGCCTTTAGCAACTTAGGAAGAGCTGTCTCAAAATAAAAATAATTTTAAAACATTTTCAGGCCGGGGATATGGCTCATTGGTTAAGTGCCCTGGGTTCAATCCCCAATGCCAAAAAATAAAAATAAAAAATAAAAAAGAGAACAAACCCAGAGTTGGCTAATTAAAGTTCTCTTAATGTTCTATCACCCCCATGGCCCCCATTTGTGAATCAGGTCCATGCTTGTTAAGGCTGCCTTCTAGGCTCTAGCCTTTGCCACCAGTGTCTTTAGAGAGCCTTTGATCTTCAGGAGTTACCAGACCGAAGAAATGGAACATCGAATGTTTGGGCAGTTTCTGTCCCAAGATGAGAGTTCTTAACCCAGAATCTATGAACCAGCTTTTGA